CTTTCCGCCACACAGATTAATTATTATTTTTGGTATGGCAACTAAGGGTTATTTTAGAAGCAAAAAAAAAATAATAATAATAATGGTAGAGACAAATTTAATTCATGTTTCATTTTATAATGGGTATACCTCTATAATAGCAAAAGTACTATTAAGATAATACTCTTATATATCTCATCATATATATCTTTAATAGAAGTACCAATTTAATACCTAATCCAAGCCAAAAAGATTGTGTTTTATATATTATATCTTTTAGAAGGTTCTTATATATAAGAATCTAAATAAGAATCTTATATATAAGAATCTTATCTAAATATAATATATAATTTGTATATAATTTTTTAATTCATATAATTCTTTAAAGTAGGTTCTTTAGAAGTACCACATTAATACCACCAATTTAATATAATATCAGATGGAACCATAAATAGCTACAACATACATGAAATTTATCATTGAAATTCTTTTAAATAAAATTAAGATTAATTTAAAATTAAGAATCATTATTTATATATTAGTATTTCCAGATATAACCACTTATTTATATAGACCTCATATAAGGTTCTTCAATCCTAACTTCTTCTATAGACCTCTAGGTAGACTTCTTAAAGACAAGACCACAATTTTAGAAACTTTTTCGAAAAAAGACTTGATTTCAAAATAAAATAATGTTCTTAACTTCTCAAAATCTTAAAATAAAACTAAAATATTATATAAAAAACTACAATTTTAATAACCAAAGCTGTAAAATGTGTTAAAAAGGAGAGGTTTTCGTGATTTTCTATTTAAATATCTCTATAAAAAAATGGAACGTTGTTTTCAGGTGAAAACTGGAAAATACCTGTTTAAGAATAATAATTCCCACCTATTTCTTCTAAACATAAAAATATTTTCAAATTTAAATTTAATGAAACTTAATCATAAAATGTAAAATACGAGCAAAAATTGTTTATAGACCCACTTGAGTAATGGATGTCTATTTTTGTGATATGATTCCCAAAACAATTAGATTTCCGTAACCTTTTTAGACATAAAATTAGTGAAGCCATAATAAATCTTATAAGAAGTCAAAAAAAAAAATAAAATCTTTAGTATAAAAATAGCTTTAAAAATCACTTAGCAACCAAATCATAAACGCTTTTAAAAAGTGCTTAAAAAAGAGGATCAGAGAGTAGTAATATCAGAGTACTATTTCCTGTTTATTATAGGAGGGATTATAAATATTATTCAGGAATAAAGGAATCCTTCCTCTTAAAGACGGTCAGAGCCTGGGTTTATGTAGAAAATACTTAGGAAAAAATCGAAAAACTATTAAAATCAAATATTCAAATATTAAGGTTATCATTGTACTATATTTTTTTAACACCAAACCCCTAAAACAGAATATATCTGGACCATATCACTAATTTCCAGAAACACTTCCTTAGTTTCTAGATATGAAATAAATTCTTGAAATCTTTTCACCATTTTCCTTGCATTCTTGTAAGATAATTTCACGAGTTGATGGAATATTTCGAGTCTTGATTGTAATACTATGTATATTATTGTGTTTTTTTTTTCGGCGTATATCTGGCCTCGAATGGAACCGAGGCTCGAATGGACCTGATATTATTAATGATCATGACTCGGAGCAGTCACAAACAAAGGCACTCCAGTATCCAGTGACGTCACGACGACGTCATTCCGACCAAATGGTGATTGTCGGTGACTTTGGGGCACCCACACAGGGACTTATCTTTAAGTAAGCAAAAGCCAGCTACAAAAAAAAAACTGAGAAATCAAAAAGGCATTTCTATGAAGCCCACGCCACAATGTCCACAATGGACCAACAATCGCAAAACAAAACCCATTCCAAGAGACTCTCCGACTCAGACCCAGACCCAGACCTAGAGACACATCCCCCTGCCCCTTATCCATAAATGGAATGCAAAGAACCTATCCTATCCGTAGTGCTGATAAGGTGACAGGGTCTAGAGTGAGGAGGATTCCAGGAAATGCTAGTCCCAAGAATGCCAAACACCAAAGATATCAGACGAATTTTTACAAAAAAAATATAACCCAGCCAGCATCATCATCATCATTTGTCTGTATATATATATACATATATTTACTTCTATGTCAGATAATGTCTTCAACCGACTTCAACTATGAATGAAACCTGATGGCTTTTGGAAAATTAATTGGAATTTAAGCCCGAAAGCTGAAATAGATAAGAGAATTATGGGGAACTTCCATTCAAGGAAAAATAATTATTTTAAAGGTGTTTGTTTTTAGAGATATATACCAACAGACTTGGACTAACTAGCAAGACAGACTAAGCATAGTTCTTAAAATAAAATATATCCAGAATGATTGCTCATCTGTCCATTGATTTTTGAAAAACCTATAGACTTTGAAGACCCTAATAGATATAGAAATAATACTTAATTTTCCAAGTGTTATTGTAAATACGGTTTTGATTTGAAAAACCTCTTTTTTAAACAGAATGAGATCTAACCATGTCCGTGTGTCCGCTCATCTGTCCGTCGATTTCTAAAAAACCTATAGACTTTGAAGACTCTAATAGATATAGCCATTATATTTTATTTCTGGACTGGTATTATAAGTAAGTTTTTAATGCTAATACCCATTTAAAGCAAAAAAAAGATCTAACCTTGTCCGTTTGTCCGCTCATCTGTCCGCGGAGCTGTCTGAACCTCTAGACTTTGAAGACTATAACCGATATAGCCCTAATACTTCATTTCCAGACTTGTATATCCTACCCAGATCCAGTGGCTTTAATAGAAAAGCTATATCTTGTTTATATTTTGGTAAGAAATCAGTTTTCTAGGGTTACTCTTTTTCCAAAATTCATGTGAAATAATCAGGTTACTGGAGAATAACTTTCCCCATCCGAGGTTTTTTATCGAAATGGGTATTTTTTTTCGTAAACACCATACCCGTGACTTGTTCTGTAATCCCCCCCTTAGCTCTAGGGATATATCCAGACATACAGTTAATGGGAACGGTGACGTATGAGCGATATCGCTTCTTTATTTTTTTAAGCCATAAGGTGAGCGTTATACAATTGACTAAGTCGGGCAGGTGGGATGATCATAGATATACCCTTGTCTACCTTAAAAAAAATATATATATGTACATATATGTTTATATTTCCATATAGCACACAGCACCCTCATGGGTGGAAGACGAGCTGGCCATTTGCGGGATCCCTCTGATTATAGCCCGACTATGGGTATATAGTATAAATACCGGGGGGAGATAAACCCGCTTGATAAGCGCGTAACATTATTAACCAAACACACACACCGAGACCCAGAGGTAACTCTACCAACTGATATCGCATATAAACAATGATGATAGTATATATATCAGTCTATACTGTGTACTATACACCCATATAAGACATATCCATGGGGATTTTGGATTGTTTTATTATTATCGTTATCATTACTCCGAAAAATTGGGCTTCCAATATTTTTATTATATTTTTACAAACTAAACGAAATAGATGTCATTATATAAGAGTAAATATGTGCAGATTTATATAGTATATATGTATATATAGGGTATATGTATAGGTATGTACATAATATTTTATCTATAATACAATATACAGTTGACTAAGATAAGCCTATAGTTCTAGATAAAAAAAAAGGAATGAACGCACCAAGCTAAGGTTTTCTTTTCTATCTTTTTTTTTTTTTGTTTTTTATCAAGGCACCCCTAATTTTTTTTTTTTTTTAACTTTAACCACACGCAGAAAAAAAAAATAACAAAAAAAAACAAGAATAATAAATAGCAAACGAAAAGCAAAGTTCTCCGAGCAACAAAACCTAATTCTTTTTTTTTTTTTTGGTTTTTTTTTGTTGTGATAAGATAAAAATCAAATTAATTAACAGCCTTTTAAGCAAACACACACGAATATGCACACGAACAGAGGGTAGAACGTCATCTGAAGTCGGGAATTAGGTTTATATCTTCGAGATAGGGTCTTGAAAAATTAAAAAAATGGAAATTGGATTTAGGGATGAGTTTTAAAAAGTGATGAACATTTTTTTAGGAAAACTAAAGATCATTATTTGAAAGTAAAGATAGGGATTTCTTTAGGGTTCTATCTATAAAATGATATAGGGGTACATTTTTGTTAAAACTTTCTAATTTTGAACTAAAACTTAATCTTTTGAAATGGAAACTAAAGAAAAACTTATTTGGGTTAAAAAAGGTATAGTTCTGGTATATATTTTCCAGAACTAGAACCCAAAAATAGATCTCTTTTTTAAAAAATTTATAGAATCTTTAAAGAATGAAAATAATGAAGAATTCTTGAAGGATATTATCCAGAAAAGGTAGAAAGATATGGGGTTTATTTTTGAAAAACTTTCCAAAGAAGTATCCTAAAACTATGGATAATTATTAACTGAATAATTAACCTTTGAAATGGAAACTATATATTTCTTTGAATATTTTCTTAAAAAGAATCCAACAATAGATCTCTATTTTGAAAAATCTATAAAGAATCTATAAAGAATGAAAGTAAAAGATATATATTTCTCTAGAGTATTAACCAGAAAAGTTAGAAAGATATAGGGCTCTATCTTTTAAGAACTTTCCAAAAAGGTATCCCACATTTCAGACAGTCTTTAAGAGGTTCCGGAAGTAGAACCCAACTATAGAACTATCTTATGAAAAATATATAGAACCTATAAGATATAGATATCTTTTCTTTTCAGAATTTCCATTTAAAAAAGAAGTATGTTTTTTGTTTTTAATTTTTGCTTTGTCTTTATAATTATTTAATTATTTAATAAAAAACTATCTCTAAGATATACAAGATATGTATATATAATTTCAAAATCATATACATTAAAAATATATATATGTATGTATTTTTTTTTTAACAAATAACTAATACTTTCTCCTCTGTTCGTGGCAAACTAAACTCGCTGCCTCTCAGTCCTTCCCTATGGTAGTAAAAAAAAAAAAAAATCATTTAAAATTAGAATTAGTATTAATTTAAATGTTTTAAGGCAAGGAGGCAGGTCCTTGGCTTCCTTGGCGTGTGATACCCGGTACTCGTAGAGCACAGGATTAGCACTATTTTTGGATTTTTTTTCTATTCTATTTTGAGATTTCCCTGGTTTGTGACGTCAGAGTGGGCAAGTGGAGCGCCTACCTTCTTGGAGCGGTCCCTCTGGCGTTCGCCCAGCTGTGTGGCCGCCAGGAGTTCGCTGAGCTGCCGCTCCCGCTCCCCCCGCTCGTACGCCTCCTCCTCGCGCTGCCGCTCCTGCTCCAGCTGCTCGTCCAGTTCCAGCTCCTCGTCCGCCTCCCCCTCCTCCTCCTCCTCCTCCTCGTCGCTGAGGCTGCTGCTTTGGGTGCTGCCCTTCCGGGCGAGGGCCACACGTATGCCGTTCACGATGCACTCGCCCCCATCCAGGGCGGAGATGGTGGAGCCGCAGTAGTAGAGGTTGCTGCAACTGCTGGCGGCACTGACATCCGACTGGCCTTCGTCCTTGGTGCCTCCCGGCGGCCCTCCGCCGCCTCCTGATCCCATTCCGGATCCGGCATGGCCATGTCCCGCTTCCAGGGAGCAGCGCCGTTGGCAGCGCGCCCTCTGCAGGCGAAAGTACTCCATCTCCTCCATGCTGATGCCGCACGCGGTGATGTCGTCCGAGTAGTCGCTGACCACCACCGAGGGGGTGCGCACGTACCGCACGCCCACGGGAAATCCGCTGGCGCCCAGCTCGCTGTAGGAGCTCTGGGTGGACTCGCGTCGGGAACCGGGGGCGGCCACCACCCGTTCCTCCAGCAGCACCTTGGTGGGCACGGCGACGCTGGCGGCGCCGGTGGGCGAGGTCAGGGGGGAGTCCGGCAGGGCGGTGGGCTCGGCCAGTGGCAGCAGCGCCGGTCTCAGCGGCAGATCGGTCACCGTCAGAGTCATCCTCCTCTGCGGCGGTGCCACCGGCATGGTGTCCATGCTGCTGTCATCCACTTCCAGTCCCAGGGCAGAGTCGCTGCTGGCGCATCGGGTGACCTTGCCCTTCCGCAGACGTGGCGATAGGGTTCCACCTCCTCTTCCACCTCCTCCGCTGAGGTCTTCATTGTCGCTGCTGTAGGGACTCAGTCCACCTCCGGTGACATTGCAGCCCTCGTCCGAATTGGAGGCAGTGGCTCCCGGCAACGCCTCCTTGGAGGCCTCCTGCTGTTGCTGCTGCTGCTGTTGGACAATCATGGCCTGGAACTGTTCGATCAGCTGCTGGACGGGCTTGTGTGGCTCCGCTCTTGCCCAGGTATGGTTTGGGTTTGGGTTTTGGTTTGGATGTGGTTTTTGGTCTTGGAGTGATAACACCTTGCTATCCGACTCGCTTCCGCCAAAGAAATCCGCTTTCAGTCGAGCCTTGCGCTGGGCCAGGGAGTTCCGGGTGATAGCTTCACATGGATTAGTGGTGCTGGTGACGGGAATCGGGCTATGTGGCGATGGCTCTGCTATCTCTGCCTCGGCGTGTTGGCGATGTTGTTTCTGCGGTGCTGCACGCTTCGCTGCTCTCTGATAACTGAAAGCCGTCGCCTCTGCCGCCGGCCATTTATTTTCAATTTCAACCGTGCTCGCTGCGCGCGTCAGCGTTGGCGTTGGCGTCGACGGCGGCGTCGGCGCCGCTGATGGCTTCGTTATCTTTGGCATGACATCGAATCTGAAAGCGGGGGCGTCAGACATTCGCGAAACCGTACCCGTTCCCGTTACCGTTCTTGCTACCGTAGCCTCGCACGCACTCATCTTGCATGGGTGGGGGGGGCGAAGGGCGAAGGGTGTAGGATTAAAGGATCGGTGAGTACAAACAAAATGAGAGCAATGAGAGAGAAAGTAATGATAACAGGTGGTGGGAGAGAGTAAGATATGGTAAGAGTATGAGTGAAGAGAAAGGGACATGGACAGGATCAGTGGAGTTAGGAGAGCAAAAAAGCTCTTGTGTGTGAGAGTGGCTTGCAAATTAGCGGTAAAAGTAGTAATTAAAATGAAGGTAAGAGCGGGGATTAGATTAAATCGCTCAAGGATTAGGATTAGGATGTATCTTTCATGTAGTGACGCCGGCAAACATTCTATTGTACATACTACGTCCGCACTTTCCGAATGGCACCTGTGCGCTGCCGTCGCTGAACTGAAATCGCTTTTTTCTGCTTCTCTCTGCAGCTCTGCCCGTTTCGCTGGAGAAAAAGAAGAGGGAGGTGTGGGGGTGTGCCGAAGAGAGCAAAATGCTGTGGGTTAGGGGGCAGAGTGGGGGCGTGGTGGATGGAGCAAACAGCTGTTCTGCGGGTGTATTATTGTTGATAGTTGTTTCTGCTTCTTCTTTTTATTTTTTTTTTTTTTTATAGGCTTTTAGTAATTTATTTTATTTTTTGTATTTTTTGTCGCAATTTAAACAGAAGAGGAGGAGGGGGGGGGGGGAGGGGTGAGGGGTGCTGTGGTAATTGTGATCTTGAAACGTTGACGTAATGTGAAATGATCCCGCACGTACACACGCACACTGCTGCACCAGCTATTTACACGAAAATGCTCCAATTGCAAGTATGTACATGTACATACATGTATGATGTATGTATGTTTGTATTATTATGCACTATATGTTCTCGCGTAATTGTAAATTGCATTTAAGCACAGCAGTCACAATAGCAACAAGAACAACAACAACAAGAACAACAAAAGCTCCAGCAGACGCACGCACACAATGGCAAATTGACGAAATGACGAAATGACGGAATGACAAGGCGATGCAATTCCATGCAACTGACGCACAATGGGACAAAACGTTGACTTATCGCGCTCTTATTCCCCACCCAAGACACACAGTGGGCGTTACCTTTCTGTCGAGTCAGTAAAAAAAAAACGCAAAACAAAATAAGCATTGTCATTGTTAATTAAATATAATTTTTCGCTAAAAAAAAATAATAATTAATGGACATCGTCTTTATATGAACATCTATCTATTAAAACTTTTATGGGTTTAATACCTCAAAGAGGAAATATATTTAATTTTTATGATCAAAGATTATATTCCTCTTTCTGATTTATAAGCCATTATATAAGTTTAGTCATTTAGTTTAGTAAGGCAAGTTATAAAAGACCTATAATTAAAATAGAACTTTAAAAACTTTGAAACTTTTCTCTAAAAATAAAAAAATAATTGCTTATTATTCATCCCTTTTCCAGAAAAATAAAATAAAAAAAACATTGCCACTGGCAGGTTCATTGACAAATTATAGCGTATACCTGTGACCGGAATCTATGACAACACGTGATTCACGGGTTGCGAAATCCCCCACCCACTCCACGGTGCGGCATCGCACTTTGTCCAGCCAGCCAGCCAGCCAGCGGCAGCGCCATGGGGCTATGACGTCAGTAAACCGAACAACGCAGACGCAACAGCCACAGAAACAGAACAAGACAGAGAGAGACAAGTAGTTACAAAGATAGAGACAGGGCCTTGGGGCGATAAGGCTAGGAAGGATGAAGGGGTAACGGTAACTCATAGACCAGGGCGCGGTGATTACTCAACTCCTTACACTGAGAGAAATTAATTGTTGTTTAAAATTAAAATTAAGAGGTATTCTAAAAAATGAAAAACAAAAAAAAACCAAGACTTTTTATTTATAATTTTTATTTTTTCTTAAATTTCATTTTAGTATATAATTTTTTTCTCAGTGCACTCCTGCCCAATTGTCAACGCACGAATGACGGCGAAATCGCTGCGGTATAAATAACAAGGGGCAATTAAAAAAATGCAATTTTTTTTATTGTTTTATGTGATTTTTTTTTTATTTATTGTTCTGCCTCTAGCTGTTGTTGATTTACTTTTTTTTTTTTTTTTGTTTTTTAAATATTTTTGTTGTATTTTTGGCTGACTGACAAGACGCACGGACGCTAGTTGCTGACGCTGATAGGCCCCGCCAGAATGACGTGGTACCGGCTTAAAGTCGGTCCCCTTCGACCCCCCCTCCACCCCTCTGCCATCTACCAGCCCCTACCCCTCTCTGGTCATCTATAGTTGTGAAATCAAAACCACTTTAGGTTTACACACCTGCGATCGAGATCGATATATACGTTAAGTTTTTCAGCTTGAGGCAATTACGTCAATGCATTTGATGAAACAGAGAAGAAAAATAAATAAAAAAAAAAAAACAAAATAAAAAAAAAACACCATCATTGTAAAAAAAAAAAAAATTGTTTTATTAGTTTTTTTTTTTAGTGAAGGATAATGAGCAGTTGCATTCATGGAATTCCACACCTTGTAACCTAACCACCCAGCCAACCCACTTATTCTCCAATGAGTTGGTGCTGCCCCACTGACCGAAATCCCCGGATGGAAAGCTTTTCAAAGCTCCATATTATTACATTCAAGTATAGATATATATTCTGGATATAATCTATATAATTTCTATATATATTATATTTTCAAAACAGTTCTTCAAAGAGAATATCCTATTTCGATTGAGAAAAGGATTTTTTAAAACTGAAGATATAGACCTGGAGAGTGGCAACACAGAATTTAAAAAGGTTCTCTGTACAAAAAAATGGATAAAATTAAAATAAAACATTAAGATTGCAGGTTTTGATGAAAATTAATGAAAATTGGCCAAAATATAGGCATCATAAGGGGCCATATACCCAAACTCAGGATTTTATAAGGTTTCTCTCCAGAAAATATTTAAAAAATTAGAAAAAAAATTTGAGTCCTCAGTTTTTATGTGGATTTATGGAGAATTCGTCCTCGAATTTTTAAGAGGATCCCGCTTGGGAATCAGATGGGTATTGGCCAAGATATAGAAGTCGTAAGAGACCATTTACGAAAATCGAAAATCGTCTGAGATAAAGCCATGAATCTGGGAAACATAGGAATATACCCCATTTCACAAGGAGTTCACAAGGAAACAAATATCTATTACCAATTTTGGTAGAACTGATCCAAAAATGACCTAAAGTATACCTCTTACCTCTTAGAATCGGATAAGAATTATGTATACACCGAGAAATAAACACCGTAAGAGGCACATATTTAAAAAAAAATTGAATTTTACGAGGAGTTTCCCAACAAAATTTTAAAAACTTGGGGAAAAATGTTGGTTACCAGTTTAAATGTGAAATCATGGGAAATCGTCCACGAATTTTTTGAGGTATCCCGCTTGGGAATCGGATAAGAATTACCAAAGATATAGGCATCATAAGGGACCATATGCGAAAACACGGGCTTTTCAAGGGGTGTTCCCCACAAAAATTTGAAAAATTAGGAAAGAATATGTTTATAACCAATTTTGATGATGATTCATGGGAAATGGATCCTCAGAACGATTGAGGTATCCCTCTTGAGAATCGGATGAGAATTACAAAAAATATAGTATTGAAAAGAGGCCATATACAAATAAATATGGATTTTTATTTTTTTTTTTATAAATAATTTTATAACCCGGAATTTTACGAGGGTTCTTCCTCAAAATATATAATAAATTGTGAAAGAATATTTTAACCCAGGGCTTTGATTCAGATTCAGATATAATACTTGTAGATACAAAAATATTTTATGGTTTTTTTATAGCTTATAAATCTGATGGGAAATGGTCAAGATATAGACAAAATTTTGGGTCTCATATAGAAATCCCGAACTTGGGTAAATTATATGGGTGTTTCTATTATAAAAAAATTAATTACTTTCAATATCTATATTTTTCGATTTCCTAGATACCAAAAAGTGTATAAAAAAAGTCGACTATCTTTACTTTATAATTTTCTGGCTAAGAACCTGTCAATATCGTCTGAAAACGAGCTTAAACACTGAAAGAAAAAAGCCAGGCGGCTCGAGGGAGGGGTGGGTCGGAGGGGAGGAGCCAATAAGGTGCTGGCCCATCCATAAACTTGGCACATTGGCTTTCGGCTAAAAGCCCAAAATGGTCAAAACGAGCCGCTTGACGCATTCGAACATTCGTATTTCGCATTCGCATTCGTATTCGGAATCGGAATCGAATTCGCACAATCGCACACGCGTGAATTGTGTGCCGTTTATTGTTTTTACACAAGAAAAAAATGTGTGTGAGAATTGAGGAAATAGCTTAAATATTTATGGTCTTTAATGAGTGTTATGTAAGTTTTGTAGAAGGGAAGAAGAGCTATTATGTTTATAAAAAAAGCTCTTAAAGATTTTAAATAATTAAGTATTTACTTCTCTTGTTTAATTTTTGAATTGGTTTAATATTTTTATTTAAATGGAAAATAGTTCCTAATGAAAATATATAAATTATACTAATAAATAACATTCTTTAAGTAAATTTCAAGCTTAAATGTTTCAAATATAAGATTTTTCTTTTATTTTTGAGAGAAAGAGGCCTTTTTAGAATTCGAGTTCGAAATCTATTTCGAACAGGAATCTAGGATACATGTTCAAACCTGTTCAAATATATTATTATACTCCTGTTGTATACAAGTATATTATTTTTAATTTATTTATAAAGAACTAATCTTTTTAATTCTCATCAAAAACCCTCTTAAAAACTATAAAAAAAAATATTTTTTTCAGTGTTTAGTAGCATTTGATTATTCCAACTGACATTGATACGAATGTGAAGTGATATCGTAGATCGTGTTCATGTTTCGAGCCTGCGTGTGCGTCTGCCTATTTGCTGGCGGGGATCTTGGGTCTTGGATCTGATCTGATCTGATCGGATTATGGTTCGGCTAATTACATTTGTTTCGGACACCGTTTCGGACTCGAATTCGAACTCAGATTCGGCAACTGAGCGTGAGCTTTAATCGAAACGTAACGGAACGATACCGGTGCGCCCGAGAGGCGACAACTCGGCGCAGGCGTTGCACACTGACTGAAGCCGACACCGAATTCTCAAATTCGAATTTCGGATATTGGATATCGGAATTCGGAATCCGATCCGCACCCAGCCCGACCCCGTCCGGTCCGGTCGAGTCGGTCCAGTCCAGACCCGGCCAAGAGGCCCGACTGTCGCCTCACCTGCGCCCGGCTCACCGGCCTCACCTGCCCCGCCAAAATCTACGCAGCACAGGTGATTAAAATTCAGCTCAAAGCTCTCTTCAAGAACAGCCTCAATTTCGGGTACCCGGTGTTTTGGATTTCGGGT